TCACAAATATCCACCACGAATCAGGTCTAATCAGTCATGCTGCCATTTTTTGAACGTTGTTTTATTTGTCTATAGACGGAATAAAAAGTTAATTGTTTAAAAGGTAATGTGTTTTTTCCTTAAAGATAAAGATCCCGAAACCGTACAATTACCATGGCCCAAAGTCAGTAGTACGAGATGCTAAAAATTTTCAATCTAGCTGTGGAAAAGCTAATCCCTTGGTTTGACTGGTATAACGAAAAAAAAATAGCGGTTAAGGAGTTGAACATGAATTAAAAGTAGACCACATGCACTATCTGCGAGTGTCAGGCTACATTCACAAGAACATTTTAGGATCTGACAAAAAGCATCGAATACCATTGTTTTAACAGGACACTAACGCATTTGACTACTGTAACCAGTATTCTGTTTTATTATTTTCCATCATAGGAATACAGGGAAAATACACAGACTAACAAATCAGGGAAATGCTGTTATGTTTTATGAGGACTGTAACTTATTACAATTTTGCTCATTTCTGCAAGTAAATATGTTATACTTTGCCACTATAAAACACAAGACCATGTTGCCAAGTAAGTGACTGAGAACAGGGACATTATAAAACATTATGAAGTTCTATAAGATCTTTGCTGAGAAGGAGAGATAACACAGCGAGCATTCATTTTTGTAGCTGTTACAACTCCTTCAGGTTGATTCATGCTCAGAGGTGGTGCTGTACCCTGCCGTTTCCTCTGGGATAGCTTTCAAAAGCCCATGAATCAAGAATCTGTTTATTCAAGAGCATTCACACAGCTTGAAACAGATGTTAACAGCAAGGATAAGAAGGTGAATGAAGTCGGCTTCTCATTCAAATTTTCTGTCCACTTTAAACAATGCATTAGTCACTTTAAATGACATATAGGTGCCAGAACATAACTCCAGCACCTGCAAGCCTACTTCACCTTCATTAGAAGTACAAAGTCTCACAGTTTACTGATATTGCAAAAGCAGCATAAACTTAAAAAGTACTACAACCGCAAACTTAAACTGCTCATAGCTGATGTCTGAGATTGTCCAACTCAGTACTATAATGCTACAGCTGCAGCTCTCTCCTCATTCCTAGCCATAACTGTGACAAACCTGTACTTTGTGAGGTTCAGCGTTCTTCTTCATTCAAATGACGTACATATAAAAACATTAATATTTTTTATATATATAAATATTAAAACAAGTCAACAACTTCTAGTCAGGTTAGCTAAGTTAGTTGGCTATGTTAAAGCAACTTTCCTTGAGGGTCAAAAATTTAATGTTTGAAAAACAGCCTATATCCTTTATTCTTCTTGGTGTGTGTTGTGTGTATATTGTTTTAGAAATCAGAGATATGAGGAGGGTCCTTAAGATAACTTGTGAAGCGTCTTCCATGTTTTGAATTGAATGGCAGGCTAACCGGATGTGTTTTTACCTGTTTTGTTGCTATTTCCTCCTAACGGTATCAGTATGTGAAAAGGGCCTACTGGAAAGCTTGTAATGCTCAACATAGTGTCTGTTTGCAGAGAAAGCCCTGCCCTTCATGAAAAAGAGTCAATCAGCTTACTGGTTACTGTGTGTGAGTGGGGAAAGACCCTCCCCCCTTGTTGTGGAGACCTGCGCAAGCACAGTAGCCAGAACAACCCAAAAAAATATGAATACATGTTTTCAAATTTTAACCTCCAGTACTGTCTTCTAATAAGTAAGCCTACAGCCCAAAACTAGTTAGTGGTTTGATTCCCCTCCCCATTTTGTTGTTGCTTTTTACATCCCTGCAGTTAACAGGATGTCTGTTTATTGATTTTATTGAATTAGTCAGACTACACATCCCTACTTACAAGCTTTCATGTTTGATTGAGTTTCTGACCACAAACACACCTACAACAAGCAATGAGTATCACTGTGTTTTTGATACATAAAGATATCAATTACATATTGAAGGCAATGACCTTGAAATCCAGGTGCAACTAGCCCCATTATCAGTTTGGTGATAAACTGGTAAACTGCAGGGCAATAAACTTAATGTTTTATATGATATTGCTATTAAAGGAAACTGATGATCAGGCCCGGCATCAATGGGTGAGGTGCATGGATGGGCTGCCCTGAGAAGACTCCCAAGCCAGCCAAACCACACACACGGTGTGAGAAGACAATCCTTAATTACTAAAAAAATTCTTAAAATCTACACAAAACTTGTTTGTAACTGAAATTATTACATGTGATTTTATAAGATAGACATTTGTTTTCTGTGAGGTTTTTCATTGTATTGGGAAAGCTATCCCAAAACATATGATAAACTACCAGGTACCAAAAAAGGCACAAAAGCTACTATTCAGAGAAATGTGGCTAGACAACTAGCTTCAGTACTAACTACATGGCAAAAGTAGCTAGTTTGCAACACTGAAGAACATTCAAGACGTCCCTGAGGCTGGTTATTATAATGACCCGCCACTTCGACAATTTGTTTCAAATGTTATACCTAAAATGTACATTATCATACATTTACCTGCTGCAGTACAGGAGCATTTACGTCATCTACATGGGCACCATGTAGTAGCCACTATGACAGCATGGACACGGCTTCATGTCACCGTCGGCTGCGTACAACTGCCCTGACAGCTTTTACCTTCAGGTAAAGGCAGCGTTAAGACTATCACATATGCTGCCAACGCTAGCTTACAGAGGGTAGGTAGCTAATGTTAGCCTTGTTTGTATGTCTACGTTGTTGAGTCCCTCAAAGGCCCACTTCGTTAGGCTAACTAATATCTCTAAATTTTTAAAGTAGCGCTACAGCATAAGTTCACTAGCCTGTTTAGTGGGCTACTACATTAGCTAGGTTAGCTAACCAGCTAAAATATAATGACTTAGAGAATGAAATGTGCTGGACAACATAATTACCTGGCTCATACAGAGATCAGCATCGCTCTTCGGCCCCAACGTCTGTGGGCTCTCTTCAGGGGTCTTAAGTATGTTCTTTTTCTCTTCAATATCTGCTCTTCTTCCATTCTTTTCCTGGTTTGTTTGGTTAGTGTAAACCGTCTTAGGTAGTGGTGGAACTGGCACTTTTATTATTTTCACATATTCGTCACATCTTTGCATCGTATTTGCATTCCGCCCAGTGTCAGATGGTGTCAGCTTCTTACGTCTGGTTGCCTCTCTCCTACTCTCTGTGCTCGCTTGTACTGTATTTTAATCGAACCAAATTCCCAATAAAGCTGTTCTCATTTATATATTTTTCTGTTTCTGTTCTTAGACAACTGACGAGTATAAGACCGACTACGTTAAGTAAGTTAGCAGCCATTTCCAAGCTTCTGCTCTGCGCTGCTAAAATTCTGGTTTTATAACCACAAAATCATACACATAATTTAAAGACAACAGCGATGCTGTGATTTCAGCTATAATTACATGTAAAATGATCACTTAGAGAGAAAGTTAGAAGTGACAGAATAGCCATCCTATTTTTTCTCTTACACCGCGCAGCCTCAGTCTGGGTAACTAACCACAAGGACGTTCTCAGCCTGGTAGTGAGTGATGACAGTGATAACGGTCAAATCGCTGAAACCAAACTGCTGAGATTTAAACACAGGAGGAGCAAACAACACAGGTCCTTAGTAACACTGTGCGCACTACACATGCGCAGTTCATGCACGTCTGTCAGCGGCGGTGCGGACTGAACGTGCTGCTCCGCCTCTCTGCCACTCACTGGGCAGAGCAGACGCAGAGAGAGGGAAATAGCTCTGTCCAAAAAGTCGCTAGATTTGTCGTTATAAGCCCTTTGATAAAAAAAACCCCCAAAAAACAACAACAAAAAAAAACAAACACCAAAAGAGTCTGAAAAGACGCCAAGTTGGCAGCATTATTAAAAGCCAGTGGAAACACCTCCTGTCCTGTTTGGTTGGCGGTAGTGGTGGACAGTAACTAAGTAAATGTAATTACTGTACTTAAGTAGTTTTTTCGATTTCCATTTTGGGCAACTTTTTACTTTCACTCCACTACATTATAAGAAACCTGTCGTTCCTTTTGGCTTATATGTGTATAAAAACATAACACGTCAAAGCAAAATAAACGTGAAGCAAGCGCACCGATCAGGGCACAGCGCGCACTTTGTTTTGAGCTTGTTTTGACCTGTTGGACATACCGACCCATTGTAAGCGTACGGTTCAACATCAGTGCAGCAGCGTCAAATTTTGGGAGTGTCTATCCCAACATAAATGATGGAACTAACCTAACTTTGTGTAAATAGACAGCAATATAGAAATATGTACACATATACAGTTGTGACCGGCATGTGTCTTTTTTCTGAACTTATACAAACACTATTTGTTATATGTTATAGTAAATTCGTTTTGGCTTGTTCATGTTTTGAATAGAGACCTACAGATGCACTACAGTAAAGGAAAACTCAATTGTGAACCTGTGTTTAAAGCAAGTTTTTATTAAACTTAAACCTGTAACTAAGTTGCAGATAAATCTTAAACTGAAACTTTGGTTGTTTGTAAAGTTTTTTCAGAGCCACTTGGTTCTACCTAATGGAAATTGTTTGCCTTCAGTGTTTTGTGCTTATGATAATTTTAATAGACATCAGTGACAGACGCATTAATTACTGGAGTACTATTTTACCTTGGGTATCTCTACTTTAACTCAAATTCGTGATTCGTGTACTTCATCCACCACTGGTTGGCGGTGTGCATCATGTTTGTTTTCTTGGGCTCGACACAGGTGATTTTTGTTTCATTTTAACATGTATTTTATTCAGTATATTTTTATTGCTGCTCTTAGAAAGTTACAAATTTGCCAAATATTACAAGAAGTGTACAAAAAGTAAAGTTCATAACCTGGAATCAATGACCCCATCTTCAAGGTTAAGAAGCTAAATTGTACTTAACAACGTGCCAGTGAACTGGCAATTTCACACCCACGTTAGAAATTTGGTGACATCTAGCATTTTCCATTGCTACTTTAAGAGAATCTGGATTTCTGACAAGACGCAGCAGTCATGGAGTGAAGCATTCTTTATTGAAAATACCTCTACAGCAGCCCCAAGGCTGGTTTCAAATACATTTATGAAACATATAAATTTTTACACAATCCTAGTGGTAAAAAAAAAACGCTGTCTTTGATTAAAGGCACTGAGATATTTGAAACAACTTTGCTTTTGTATTTGAGTGACCGGAGGAGCCTGAGTGTATACTGTTAGCACCAAATTCATATTCAAGTGATACACTATGGAATTCAAAAATGAGACCAATGACCGCTTTGAGGGCTGCTTTACCCCAGGCTTCTGAAAAAAACACACAATGTGAGCATGTACATTACTTAAACAAGATCTTGTTGCAAACAGGGATTTTTTTTCAGCATATATAGGCAGGATGACTCAGCGTACGCATCATCTCATAGAGAGAGGCTCAACTCTTGACCAGCAAATAGGAATATTGTCTGTGTATAAAACTAGGGACATGTTCAATGAAAAACTAATTTCCAATGAATATGAATGGTCATAAATCTAGAATTCATATGCTGGAAGCACCAAAGTAACCTGGGGTCCAACAAAAGCATATTATGATATGACTTGATTGTGAGATTACATTCATTAATCTCTTTTCCTTCCAAAGACATACAAGTGACATACAAATGGTCACTGTCCATACTACACAGAATCATTTTCTGTCTCTTAAACATAATCCATGACTATGAAAAACCCTACATGATGTAAATTGAGATATGAGTCACAATTGACTGAGGAAAAAAAAACAAACAAACTTGTGTTCTACTGCCGTGCCCTCCACTCTGTTGTTGTTGATACACCTTTTTCTTTGCCCCTCCCTTTGCCCAATCACTTTTTTTCTTCTTAGCTTACATTCCCTTCCCCTCAGACCAGTGAAACCTTTCGTGACACAGTTTGGTAAAAGACACCCCTGAGCAGAGCACGGTAGTCAGGGGCCTTGAACAGATGGCGGTAGGCGTAAGTGTTGTCGTAGGGCCGCCCTCGACTCACCAAAGTGCGCAGGTTGGCTTCGTTCACCTGATTCCCGACAGCCAGAACGTAAAGTTCAATGCCATTGTTGTTCACTTGCTCCACTGCCTTCTCTATCTGGATGTTGTTGATGCCCTGTGAACGGCCATCTGAAAACACCAACAGCTTCTTCTTCCTGGTCCTGCCACCTCTGAAGCGGTTGATGGCCAAAGTGAGTGCCTCTGTCACCTGTGTGCCAGCGTTCCTGAAGCTGGCTTCTGCAATCTGATCAAGCACTTGAGTGGCGTTGTTAGAGAATTCAGCTTCAATGTTGGCATTGCTGCTGTACTGGCCAACAGCAACGCGAACCTGGACGTTTCCTACCCTCTCTGCAGACAGGAACCGCTTAGCCAGCTTCTTGGTAAATTCCTGAGTCATCTTGAAGTTCTTGGAGCCCACACTAGCTGAGCTGTCCATCATAATGATGATATCTGTGGGATCACTGAAGGAAACTGGAATAAAATATTCAAAGCTTATGTTTTAAAGCCAAACTAGTTTAGTTAAAGACACTGTTAGGTGTCGAATATGTCCACATATTACATGATCGGTAGGTAATCAACATCTGTTGCAGTAACATCTGCTGTTGGTTCCAGAGTGGAACCACTGTGGCTGTTAGGTCAACTTATATGTTTTTTGTGGGTTTAATTCATTCTAAATGCCAAAATCTAAATGTTTATACTAGACAAACTGTTCATATAGGCTTAAACATTTGATTGGAAAATATTTAACAAAGTGTTCATCATCAACAGCGGGGGTGGACATGGGGAAATATATTAAATATGTATCGTTAAGAGAATTACATTGACACTTACTTGGACAAGTATAATTGGGACACTTTTTGTCTGTGGAAAAAAAGAAAGAAAAAAAGTGCACTCAGTCAAAGCTCTTTCACATCTTATGATGATGAACTGATCTGAGAATTAGAATGAAGCATCTTACCTTCACACATTCTCTCTGTCAAATTTTGCAGGAAGCTATCATCCAGGAGCAAGGCAAAGTTGTCAAGGACAAAGGAGAAGCCTTTTCTGGGATCATTTAGACAGGCCACATCATCCAGTTGTTCCCCCTTGGGTGGTCTACCTGCGTAGTCTACAACACCTATACCACCAACCTACCATAGAGAAAATCATTGCATCATACAGTACATACTATACAACAAAACTTTAGATGTTTATTCACTATGTCAAGTATTCTGGGGACAGAAGTCATTCATTAAAGTACGCACATTGAGACTTCACTTAAAATTACCTGAACTTTTAAAATTGCATAGTACTAGCATCATATTAGACCAATTTTATATATATATATATATATACACACACATACACACACACACGCATTTAATGCTAATACCATGAAATGTTCTTTTCTTACCTTCAGCCCTTTTCCGCACAGCACATTCACAGGCACAATATCTCTAATGGTATCTGAACGGCCGTCAGTCAGAACAATCACTACGCTCCTCTCCTTTACCAGCCGGTCAATCATATTGTTAAGTGAATACTGGAGGGCCTCTCCTGTGTAGGTGGCCTCAGCCAGCCAGCGCAAGTTTTTTACAGCCCTGAATACAGAAACACAACTTGGTGACTGAAGATATACATATGCAGGGAAATTGATGTGTGTTGAAGTGTGTTTCTGTGCTCAGCGTACTGCTTGAGGTCAGTTAGGGATCGGATGTTGGGGTCACCAAGCCTTACGACCTCCTGTGCATTTTCTCCACTGTACTGCACCACGCCAACCCGGGACTCATTCCCACCAAACTACACACAGCATGGACGGAGGTAATTAGATACATTATCAATGCATTATTAAAGGTGTTTTATCTGCTTAAAATGAAAATTAAGATAACAACCCTTATTCATCAAAGCTGCACACAGTCAAATGTTATTGAACAGGTAGGGGACACTAGGTCATTTGCCCCCCATCACTACAGCTTGCTTGGGCGGGTCGTTCACACATACAGCATTTGCACTGCTGAGCGGAACAGCAAGAAAGTTATACAGATGTCCTTTAACCAAATGGATAAACAGTCAAATTAGCCATTCTGCTAAATAAAAGTATAATTCATAAAAGAGCATGGTACATTGTTTACCCTTGACAGCATTCTGACTTGTGATTGAGCAAACAGTAGTGTTTAAATTAAAAATATTTTCAATTAATAATGATACTATCAACTAACATTATGAGCACATCACAAACCATTTTCCCGGTGTGTGATCTGCTCATATTACGAGACTACAGCAGTGCAAAGCAATCACATTATCTACTTTATCATAAAAGTGTACGATAACGAAAACAAAATAAATTATTAACAATTTACACATATCCACCCATGATTTATGCTCTTACTTAAATATCCCCAAATTAAATATCTGCCATCAGATTAGGATGTATATTCCAAATTTTTGGTTGAAGCAACGGCCACGAGACCACTGACCAATGGAGGCGCACTGCACGCAGTGCTAGTGGACAGCTATGCTAAAAGCTAAATCAAGGCTAAAGGCTGTCATTACCCCAACATTCCGGCGGTTCCTTCCATATTGACTCTCTAACGTTTACTCGCTCAATGCCCATGCCATTGGCTCAAGAGCTTGCTGAGTACTTTCCTTTTATTGCCTCACTATTACAACACCTGGATGAATTGCTCATGTTTCATATATATGCATATGAGGGTAAACTAGGAATTGTCATTTGTAAATAAAGTAAGTAAGGGACTAGTGCTTGTTTCCACTCAGCTGTAGCTGATGCATCAGCTGTACTCAGATTACCGTTCTTTTTGATGCCGTCAATCAGGTGTAAATTGTGCTCCATTTCTGGAGCTTAAATATGTGCTTGTTTTTACACAACTTTGATGAATAACAGTCAACGTTTCAATGAAGGCTACATGGCCCGCACAAGAGCTGCCACATATTGAGTGAGCACCAGTCAGCACAGAAGACTTACTCTGATTTGCTGATCCTTCATGAGCCGATCAATGACAGTTATAATGAAGTCTTTAGAAATGGCAAAGTTGGTGGCACCTATACTCTCAGAGCTGTCCACAATAAAGGCAATGTCCAGGGGTCCACACTTACACTCTAAACAAACAAGAATCAGTTAAACCACAATTCCCAAAACAACCGTTTCTATCAGCAGTCATCTCCAACAGATGAGAAAAAGAACAACAAATACTAATCCAAACCAAATACACTCTGAAGGCATTTCCTCTTATACACTTCAAAGTAACAGAAAAAAGGCATACTCACCACAGCAAGCTTAAAAGAAAGAGAAACCCACAGGTATTTTAATTTCCATTGCATTGTGTGAAAGGAAGTGATAAAAAATTTGACACACAAGGGATCAAAACCTAGATCTGCATACAAGAAGTAGCATGTGCTATCAAAAGAGTGCACACAAAAGAGATAGCACATGCTGCTTCTTTAAGTATACTGAAAATGACTTTCCTAAAAGAAAAACAATCTGGGCTGGTCATTGAGATGTTCTTTAATTTAAGGACAATGGGAGCACGCTGTTTCACAATGGCTAGGCCATAACCTGTATAAAACCACATTAAATATTGGGAGAACGCTGCTGTAGAAAACATTACTCATGTTCTCAAACACATTGTATGCCACCTACTCCTTACAGCATGTATTTCAGTCATGAACAAGCTCTCAGTGGTTAAAAATCAAATTAGGTTTTATCACAATTAAAGCTTCTCTATCTCAGAGCTCTTTTTAAACTGCTTACCATACTAAGAATTCAGAAAAACAGTTTATTAACTCCTTGTCTGGATCAGTGGCATAAATAAACAGCTTGCCCATTGTCCTGTGTTGTATCATGCCTTGTCACCATTTATATATCTTCCAAGTGTAGCCTACATTGTTAGCCTGCTAGGTATTAAGACTGGGATCCCATTTATGGCAGTTTAGGTATGATACTGTAGATCAAAAAGCCTGTCAAGTAATGAGTAAATACAACACAGACTGCCAAGAGTAAAACACAACTCACAGCACATCTTCATAATGATATCCAGGATTTCACAGTCCTAGAAGCAGAAGAAACAGAAAAAGTAAACTGACTTACTCTTAAATTGGGGAGACACACTGAATCTTCAGTAACTGACATTCAGGCAGCCATTTTGCTGCACAAAATGGAGCCACAAATGTCCATCTTGTTTTAATTAGAAGAAATTCTGCTCTGCAGTCTGCACAACTCTCTCCAAAGACTAGCAATTAATGCAAGAAGTCTGTCTCTCTCTTAAAGCATATTTCTTCATGGACTAAAGGATAACCACAGTTGTCATGCTAATAAATCATATGATCTCTGGCTTTTGGTTAAATACCACTCCTGAGGATTGTGCTATCGTATTTGGCTGTGCATTATCTATGCATGGTACAGATCTCATGTAGATTTAACACTACACAGCGGGATAATTTGCATGGAGCATCTGTTGGACCCTAGGCAACACCTGTATATGCTGCTTGAACCCATAGGTTACTAACATTTTCATATAGTAAACTTTCTGTTTTGTATGTTTCAAAAGGATACGTGAACATGTTAGTGTTCCACCACTATCAGTTTTGATTAAGAACAGAAACTGTTTAGTACGGCAGCCATCGCTTGTGAAACATTCTGGCAGAGGCTAACAATCATGTGCTAAAACACTCAAGACCAACTTACATCAGCTCCTGCAGGCCCAGGTGGTCCTGGTGGTCCCTGGACATTAGAAAGAAAGCAGTAGGGAACAACAATTACATACAGATTTCTATAGCTCACATTGATAACCACACCATATGCTAACACACTGTGCCTTCTCTATAACTTTGACCTGGATAGAAACAAACCAGTGCTAAGGTCAATTTCTGTTTTCTTAAAGAGTACACAGAATGGGCTCTGCCAAAAGAAAAGAAGACAGAGCTCCAGAGAGATTCCGCTCCAAATAAGAGCATTTTTGAGGCAGAGAAGTCTCCTCCTTTCTGGATGGTGTCCAGCAGCACAGAAGAGCATGGTGGAACTGCTGCCTGAGAGTGGTTGGACATTCTTCCCACAGGCTCGTAACTCATAGACAGCGTTCATCATCAGTACTGGAGAAATATGCGCAAATAGACTCAGAACACTGACGGACACAGCATGAGAGATTTAATCTTTTGTTCCTTGGAATATGAGTATATTTTATCAGTTGTTTTCAATATTTGCTTTTGGCTTTTGTATAACAGCTTCTTAGACTTGATCTAGATGGTCAGAAGTGGTCCAGTTTGTTTTGCATGCTGTGTTAAGGCTATCATAAAGCTGTTTATTGTTGTGCATTTTATTTGACATTTGTGTTTTTAGAAACTCTGCGTTCCGTGCATGATCCAAGAAAGTTTTGTGCCATGTGTTTTTCAAAAATCGAATTATCTCCTACAAAAAGTGACATTAATATGACTGCACTTATTTACAGTACATTGTACAAAATATGGTAAAGTAAAGATGGTCAAGCTATCTTTACTCACAGGCTTTCCTTCAGGGCCTCTGTGGCCTTTTGCTCCTTTAGGCCCAGGCCGTCCTGGTTGACTGTTCTGTGGAATACAAGATTGTCCCAATCAGTCTCAAGTACACAACCAGTGCAAAGCCTGCATTTGTTTGATAGTGAATGAATGTGGGCAATACTGAATTATACTGCAATATAATATCAGAGTGCAATATAATCCCTTCCAGTAGCACAGCACTTCCGGGTGACACAAATGCATCCACAATTTGATTAATTTATTATTTAAGACATAGAAAATGAGAGCAAGTGTGGCTATAAGATCACAGTTATTTGGTTGCAGGTATGAACAGAAGGCGAGTACCACAGATCATCACAGGTATGATGTTATTTGCGATGACGCAGAGTTTTCTTTTGCTTTTATACAACAGAAAAAATATTTGCAATTTATTTCACCAAAAAGTAGTCCTGGTCTAACAAAAGTGGTGGCTGCCAAACGATGACACAAGATTCTTGCAGGGTCAACTTCTCACATGTAAAACTATAAAAAAAGTTAATGCTGAAAAAAGGACACTATGCAGAAGCGCAACAACCTACTGATTAACATTTAGTAGGTGTACCAGATTTCAGTTTGTCAGAACATTGCAAATTTCTTTGCACAGAGTAAGAGCCAAAATCATGAGTGTCACACCAAAACCATCAGAGGTGGCAACCCTGTATTTTATCAGATATAACAACATAAGGAGAATGCTTTTCAACCAATCAGACTCTAAGGTTGGACCTAACTGTTAAGAACAGATATTTACAGATTGTTTTATAGAAACACAAGCATCCTTCAAAGACATTTGTGTGCATTCCGCAACTGTAAGCCTTTGCTGTGGCCCATTAGAACCAAATACAACAATGTACCAAATACAACTTAAAGTACACAAATCTCACCCAGTATTTTACAGATATAGCATGTCTGTACTAAACCCAATTCATGTTTCAGTTGAAAGTTGTCATACGATTATGCTACAAATGCCTCTTTATATTTGTCTGTTTTTTTTCAATCCCAAAAAAACACTGCAAATACAACTACACTGTACTCACTGTACACTTATTTATGCCAAGCTGAAACAATAATGCCAACCATGTTAGTTTGATTACCTTTAAACTCTGTGCTTTAAAACTCAGAAGCGTCACAGATAGGGTCTAACGTAGGGACAGAATGACCAGGGTTTATTGTTGTATCTCACTGTGATTAACTTGTTAGACATCGGACCATCTAAGGCCCCCTGGGCCAGGGAGAGGCTGCTTGAACTCCATGAGATGTTTATAAACACACTTCCAAATAATCATCAGGAGCAGAAAAGCAGAATATCCTTTAAGAGAAACCCCAGACCACGGAAGGCCATGCCATATGTGGTGTAGAGGTGCAAAAGAGGTTCAGATTGTTAGATTCTTATTAATCAATAACACTTCACGTGAAACTTCATCTTACAAATGTATAAGCAGTAACTATGCAAAATGCATATACTGACATCTTTATTCTTGCTATTGTGAGAGTCACAAGACTTTCACAAGAGTAACATTAACACTGGGACTGTACATTTTAGTAATGTCCACTTTTGGGACATCTGGGAAGTTCATGAAATGACTGCTACCCCATAACAGGAGAAGAGAAGCAATGGATGATCATGATGCACTGAAGATACACATCAGATTAGCAGAGGAATTCTCATCAGCACTTTTACATGGGAGGAGCCTCTGCACAGTCCATTTACTTTAAAAAGTTTTATTCTGAAGACCCAAAGACATTACAACAATATGATGAGCAAAAGAATTGTGCCACTTACACTAGAGCTGAACAATATTCAGAAGAAGTGGAGTTTTAGGTTCTTGCGACAAGTACAGCAGCATTTAAAAAACAAAACAGGGGTAAAACATTTTCCCAGATAAACTATTGCCAAATAAAGATAGCTATCTCTCTAGCAATGGAAAGGCTGTGTTTGGGGCACTGCAGTTGTAATATGCCTTGCAATATGCTGAAATATACTGGTAACATCTAATGACATGATTAAAAACTGGTCTGCACTATTTTGACCAAAATTATTCACGTTTTTGGATCACACGAATGCCTTATTCCATTAAAACACCACAGAAATCTGGATCATCTAGGATTTTTCAGCACACAATAATGAAGTCTGTAATTTGTTAGAGAATAATTCCAATTGTAAAAGCCATTATCGTGATAATGATTAAAAAACAATGTATTGTGCAGCTCAAAGTCTCACTCAATGCAGAATGGCTTTACAATACAATTAGTAGGCTAGAAAAGAGAATCAGTGATTAATACTTTGATGTTAATACTGTCATCAGCAGAGACTATAAGCTCAATCTTTACCTCCATTTGCATGCGCTACAGACATGTACAGTTATTTCTTATGGAAATGAAGAGAGTATAAAAAGAATATAAAAAGAAGAAAGAAACCCTGGAAAGTATAGAGATATACCAGAGGAAACAGTCATGATCCAAGAGCTAAATGTACTCCTTATGCCTAAAAACCAGAGCACTGCAACTATGCATACAAAATGACACTAGAAACCCTTTACGCACTTCATCGTGACAGGCTGTACGTCTCCAAAAGACCACCATAATGAAGTATACATGGACTACAAAAACTAGCACCATATGGTTGCCTATGTACCCCACAAAATTCAAAGGTCACATCAATGGCAAAATCAAAGCATTTCCACATCATGTAAACTGGACAAATGATTGATCAGAGGCTTTCTGCATCTGGCCGTTGATTATGCATTCAATCATTGCAGTTTATGTTAACCTTACAAAGTTTGTTTTAACTGGCCGGCCAGCCATTTCAGTCTTTATCGTCCACTGAGTTCAGCAGAAAAAAATGAAGCTTGCTCATGTGTTCTCCTAATGGTTACTTTGTACTCCACAGTTCACCTTTTCCTCCCTCACTAGGGCTTTTATTTATTAGAAAGGCATTTGGCAGGCTCCTTAAGACTTTAAAATGCAGTTAACATTTTAATTTATGACCACTGTAAGTTTGTTAATTATTCTAAGTTGTAAGTTATTTTACTTATGTTTTATCTCTGTGGCACAAGGTGAATATTTTCCTTTGTCAATATAGTGTCTGTGCATGGATAATTGTGTTCAAAAAGCTTTTACTGCTGGGCCTTTATGGCATAAAGCAAGGTCCTCCACAAAGAATGAAGAGGTAGGCTTGCATGGGCAAAGTAAAAGAGGGTGCTAAACAAGAATCGCATGTTGCTTAGTGTTGAGGGACAGAAGACATGGACTGAAGCTATGTTTTGAATGGTGCTTTTCTTTCAAATTTGATATTCCTTTCTTCGTCAGTTCTCTTTTCTTCAGTCAGTATTTCTCTTTTGCCACCAACATTCCTAGTTTTATACTGGGCCAAAGACTCAGACGTCCTTCTGATGTCATATGTTTTTACTTTGTTCTGTCAAAACTGATGTGGTTTGGCTCACAAGCCATGAAGCAGATGTTGAAATGAGGAAGCTGCAACCATATGAAGCCTTTTCACAGTCATCCAGTCCTTTGTGGGTTAAAAACATAGGCTAAAAAAAATGTAGGCTGCACTGATGAAGTTGTGGATTAGGAAAGGCTATAAGATCCCCACTTCGCTGTTTTCCAAAAGGACTTGGAGGTCTTGGACTTTAGAAATGTCTTCAAATTGAAACCCAGATGACAAATTAATGAGATTCTGAAGACTTAATTGACACTTCTAAGCTAGTTCATAGAGCTACAAATAACCCATATTGGTCATCTCTTAAAGGATTGAAAAAATTACCTCATCGTTTCAATATAATAAGCGATATAATATGCGATAAGAGGTATTTCATCAAAAGCCAACTTGAAGACCTCCTCATGTGTCTCAAAATATAGAGGCAAACAGGATGGGGATTTTGCCTAGATCCATTTCTTTGACCAAACCATGAGCTCTCAAAATGAGTTCCAGGTGTAAATCTGCTTTTGTGACATCACAATGTTACAGAATCTAGAGCATGACATCATTGAGACAGACCTTTGATTTTTCACTTCCAAAGGGAAGCTTGTCTTACAGCAAGCTATATCCTCCCCACCCTCATTATTAGTTCATATGGAGACTGAGAACACAAGTGCTGACTGAAATTAAAATACTGCGCTACATCTGTTCTGCACAAACCCTGAAACTGCCAGAACAAAAAGGTACAAATGCCAAAAGTTGGATAATACATTTAATTGAGCATTTCGCTAGCAGAAGCCTTCAAAACTTGCAAACACGTACATGACTACAGGACCATATGGCCACCCTATCAGGGTCAGGCTCTGTATTCAGACCTCTCCAGCTCGCAGATCCCATTGGGAATAAACACGGCCTTGCAAGGCTGAACGTTTTCAGTGGTTTTGGTGACCATCCTAGAGGGCCGGAGCTGTTTATTCATTTGGAGTGAATCCTACATATTTCCACCGTCTTGTAAACACAGACAGAGCGAAAAATGCCTGTGACTTAGTGCTGTTTAATCGACTGTTTACCCATTTCAGAAAGCAATTATGAGGCTGTTCTGTCTAAACACAACTCCTAAAGAGGGAGATATTCAAGCAGCACTGCTTTAAAGAAAACTTTGGACATGAAGATGAGGGTTTAAATCAACAGATCATCTGAATCTGTCAACAGTGTAACAGATGCAGGTATATGATTCCAAGCCAGGTGATTCACTGTGTTCCATTGGCATCACTGACCAGAAATTACAGCATTCAAGAATGTATGCCGTCTGCTGGTAGCATTCTCAGGTTGCAACGTGACAAATCTGAGCTCTTGTGTGCTGAAACACTTGTGCCTGCTTTCTTGGCTGAATTCGCTTTCTGCTGAATTGAGGTTTTACCACCCGAAAGCCTTGCTACTTCTTCACCCATCTTACCTCCTTTCTTCCATTTTCCTTTTCCTGTCCGTTACTAAATTAATTCATGCCAGCCTAGAGCCGAAAAGCAACTTCCCACTGGCACTGTAATATTCAAGCACTTTCTTCTCCTTTTGCACCACCACCAGTGTTGTTCATATTTCTGCTCCATACAAACAGGGACAAAGCGCTCAACCTAGGTTCATTTACACAGCCTGGGTGAATTATACTAATCCAGCCCAGTCTACCACATGACTTTCCACTTCACTACAGAAACGAATGCTGAAAAACACTCTTGTGTCCAATCTCCACAATCCACTGGCTGTACACATGTGTTGTTTTGCGAGACCCAAGGATCAGTCTGTCGGATATGAAGCGTATGGGAGCCATTACAGACTGCAGGCCAGCTGAGGAGTTTGGCCTCAGAGAAGTACATTCTTGGCGTAAACCATACTTTCCAAAGGCCAACGAATTAACAATAGACAAAAAGCTGCTACAGACTCAGAAGCTATCTTCAGTTAATAATACAACTGCTGTTTATCCGACAGCATTAGCTGAGCTAGTACAAGTTCTTTTAAACTTAAGTTTCAAGTCTCTGTTGATCATGCGTATGTCATTTTGGCTAAAAGAAGAGTAAAGTCTGGAGCACTGCCTCTCAGTGAGTTCCTCACACTACATAAAGGTACTATGCATCATCATAGCACTTCCTTTTAACTCATATCAACCAGAGTCCAATTTGTCTAAAAAATATGGTTTCTCACAAGAAAAAACCTTTCCCCTTTAACTGTGCTTTCACATGTCCATGACAACAAGATACACACAGCTGCCTGAACTCAAAGCTGGAGTCAGCAACCAGACTGTTATCAGACAGACGAGCTGAGAAAGACTCCAAGTCTCAGTAACACAATTCATTGTGTGCTAGCTGTCACATGAGAGAGTTAGACAGAGGATGGACAGAAAGACAGACTATGAAAATAACAAGTAGATGCAAAAAAAGTTAAGCAGAGGGAACAAGTGATAGATAGATTAGGGGCGAGGGAATAAAACAGACAGGACTGAGTAGGGGAAGGGAAGGTATATACATAAAATTGATTCATTTATACAGAAAGCAACTTACATCTGAACCAGAGTCACCAGGTTCTCCATCATCTCCTTTTGGCCCAGGAGATCCTCTGCTTCCCTTGAGAGGGAAAAAGAAAGGAAAAAGAATGGGACTTTAGAGTCTGTCTATGCAGAGTCACTGTAGTATGTAGTATGTAGTCTGTTGTAATCTGATAGTTATAGTCCATTTTCTTCTTCTCCAGCTGAGCCAGGATAGTGGCCATAAAACTTTATGTATCAAACCAGTATCATTACCTCACATGAATCAGAGGCACTACTAAAATGGAACCAGAAGTGAATCTTAAGAATAGAAGAGAAGCCTTTCGATGACTGTTAGATACTTACGGGTTCTCCAGGATCTCCTCTGGGACCTGGATAACCCTAAGAAAGAGACAGAGAGACATCACCTACAGAAACAACACACATATTTTGAGTAATTGTGGAGACTTCTAGGAGAAAACTGTTATACCTGGAAACCATTGCAACCCTCCGTTCCATTGCCTGGTGGCCCATCATCTCCCTATGAATTAAATATCAACATCACAGGCATCATTTTGAGTTTTTTGTGGAAACTTGTATCAGTCACTTTGTACAGACAGCGAACATGACTCACCCTCTCTCCCATCAGACCTCTGTCTCCTGGGGCTCCTTTAATTCCTCTGGGTCCTTTTGGCCCCTAATGCAGAGAGAGAAAACATAGTAAGTGTAGTTTTGACTATATAGATGCCAAAGTTCAATTGGAATGCAAATATTCAGTGCTTAAATCTCTCACCTCTGGCCCTGGAGGACCCTCATCACCACGATAACCTGGAGACCCAGCCCTTCCAGGCTCACCCTGAAATATGAGATTTAATAAAAATACTGAGAACCATAATAACAGGATGTGTTACTATGATTATTTAAAATCGGAACTATCAGTAATTAGATTTCACTTGGAAAGATAATTTGATTTTACTCAGAGATACATTCACAAAAGCCTGAACTTTCCCTGAAGAAAGTGGTGGCTACTTATTTGAAAATGCAGATCAGATTTCCTTTGAAAGCAATAGCTGAGCTATCTAATCAAGTCCAAATTCCTGTGTATGTTTATAAGGCCTTTTGAGGAAACTAGGGTGTGGACAGGGAATACTGAAATGCATTTGTGGCAAATTAGCACCAAAAACTTTGATAAAACTCTGAAGTTACAGTTATCTGAAGTCCAGCTTTCTACTGACTTTTAGCAGTACTAGCGTCATGAACTAAAAACACACTTATGGTAAATGACTCAGTAGAAATTACATTACTGTTTATTTTCATATGAAGCATTCATTTTCCTGAAGGGGAATACTGAAACATGGAAGAATTAAATCAGCAAAATGGTGGATTTGGAAAGAGCGGTGGCCTTTACTCATGAATTAAGAAAGACGTCCAGATTTCCACCTATTTGGAGGCTTTGCTTTTTCCCACCCACTTCTACTGGAAAAAATGTCTCTGCTAGTGAATGTAAAAAAAAAAAACATGAAAAAAGAAAAGAGACGTTTGGTGGTCATTCAGTTGGTACTCGAGCTCCATAAAACAAGATGTGAATTTTTGAGATGGCGGTAACAGAGCAGGCTTTACACACATAGCTGTGAAGCCAAACATCTGGGCTGTGGCCAATCTTTGCCTGTTTCAGACCATGTGACAGTGCAGACAGAACTGAAACAGCTGGATGGGTGTGGTGTCTCTTTCTCAGGAACATAAAGCTTTTAAGAGGAAAAGGAGTCTGGGAGGCCATTCTACATGTGCCATTTCACTACAACACCACTTGTTTAAGCCAAGCAGGAAATGCAAAGCAGAGGTTGAAACACAAAGTGAGTGTGGTTCTCTGTCAGGCTCTCAAGTGGATTGTTAGTTTAAGCTTGGTGGAGTGGGAGATGTGCTGAGACACACTCCATGGTGGACTCTTAACAAACTTGAACCTACAACTTTGACAGCTTGCCTTTTTAAGCCCTACAGCTTGGAAAACTTTCTCTTATCAAGATAAGCAAAACTGCTAAATTATTATCTGCTCTAAAATACATATTTTACCAGGGGTTGGTCATTACCGTGCCTGCTTTTTAAGAGGGGGGCATTACCATTCATGCTTTTGCTCTGACGCATATTACCTACCACTTTTACTGATGAAATAACCATGACAATATTTCTGGAAGCCGCTTCATGATGACTTCGTGATTATTGTTTTCATTAATCAAAAGTGTTATCTGAGCAAATTAAACTTACATCACCTTGTAGCTGTTTTGCCTTCTGTTATCAATATTTTATTGCAGAATCTTCACCCTTGACAATTTTTTTTTTTTCCAGCAGGCTGATCTAAGAAAGCTAATAAACTACATTGTGCAACACCATCTTTTTTCAATAAAAAGACCCATGACCCAAAACTGTAAAACAACCCCATTTTTTCTCTGAATTTGATAGAATGTCTTGCATTTGTTCACTCAACCACAGAGTTTACAGCAGGGGTGTCCAATCTTATACGCAAAGGGCCGGTGCAGCAGACCTGATTCTACTTGTTGAATCAGTAGGTTTCAGTTTTGAAACAATGTGTTCTTTTACTTTGCTGGAGTGAAAACCTGCAACCATAACAGTCCGTTGCAGTAAAGATTGGACACCTCTGGTTTAGAGAGTGTAACAACAAATCACACAGTTTGTACTGAACTGACAGTGACAGATAAAGTCAGATAGTGTAAATATAGTGTGAACTGACACCAAGACTTGACACATTTGCTGACTCAATCAATTTGAGGCTAAACGATTTATTACTTGTAAAATTGTCTTGTGTGTAGCTGAGAACGCACAATTGCATAAACAGATTCATCTATCACGTTTCAATTAGGATTTCTAATGTCCCAAAACAAAACACCACTCATATGGTCTTAGTTTGTCATACACCCACTAAGATCTGTAAGGCTTAAGTGTTCAAGTTCATTTAAAATGTTTCAAACAATCTTGTCATGCAATAATTATTTACATTTTTTATTCACTCTATTACATAGTGTGACTGAGTAGGCCTGCCTGAAATCCTGACTCCTCAGCCAATATACTCTAGTACTGATCTGCAGCTGGCTCCTTATATAACATGCTTGTATTAGACTACATACAACATGTGTTTTTGTCTAAAAAGCCAAAGTGTAAAGTCTAAAGCAAAGAGCATCTGTTGCAGAACAGAAAACAATATCTGCAGTGCTGTGACCCTCCAAAAGTTGAGCTTAACACTGTAGTCAGATACCAAGTGCCAAATCCAGCTTTCTACCCCAGTTAAAGTGATAACTCAGTGAAAAATGCCAAGATATGTTTGGTGTGTTAAAACTAAATGTGCAAACTGCATGCCTAATCCTCACACTCTTGCTTCAAACCACATGCAGTTGTTAAGTAATGTCAACTAGCCTTGTTTATGTGATTTGTGACACTGTATACATACTGTTATTGAAAAAATGAACAAAGAACAGACAACGTAGACTTCCAAATGGCTGGTACTACTATTTTTAGCTTTGTGACATACTTTTGTCTATTTTTATAAATAACAGTTCTCTGATGACCTTCGAGGGTGGTTTCTGTGATCAGACCCCAATACATTTCCAGAGATGAACTGGACATGTACTGAGTACTGTCCACTGAGTATGTCAAGACGTATGTTAATGGTAGGTGTGAACAGGGCCTACTTAAGATTAATCAACAACACAACAGAGTTTGAGGCAAGTGTGTGATGGCTGGTCATGCTGACTGCACAATTCTCATTGGTGGGGTATAAATGTCCACTCCAATTGTTACATTAGCCTCATAGCTCCAGTGCAAATCTGATTTTGACTTTTAATTTATATCAAAAAAACGTTAACTGAACCATTCACTCAGAAACTTAAGGGAAAGTAAAATGCAGCAGAGAATTCTGGACTGAGTTAGCCATGTCCATCTGGGGTCCTTCTGCCAGGCTGAGGAAACTCGTTAATCTTAAACTCTTCTTTTTGATTTTTTTTTTCTTATCCTCTTACCCCAGTTCAGCTGATATAAGCAACTGATTCCTCCACGAGGATGTATTCGTCTGTTCTCTGGCTTGCTTCATAACCCAACAGCGACCTTGGTGAAATTAGGGGGCCTCACAAAATGCCTGAGCTATGAAGTCAGCTTCTAGCTTTCATCTTTTCTCAAGAATCAGGAGTCATGTATCATCTGGTCAGACAAGGGCTAAGGCCTCCATCTATACTGACTGTTTTTAATTATTCAAAACTCTAAAGGTCTTCTCCTTACAAAGAACCAATATGAAAGCTAGGTGTGATGCCTAATGACCAATAAGTCTATGTCCATTATATGTAGATAGAGAGAGGGTCACATTATGGGGATACTAGTGCTGGTGTTTGGTTTCCATGGTTGTCACTTACTGGGTCACCATTAGGTCCTGATGGTCCCTCACGTCCCGGCTCGCCTCGTGGACCTGGGTCACCCTACCAAAGTCAAAGGTTATAATTAACATCAACTTTATTTACAAAAGATTAGTCCTTCATTTTCAGTCTATAGCCTCATGAACTTCATTACATGTGGGAAGCTCATATGTTTTGCACTTGTGTACCCTTGCATATTTGTTGCCATATGTAATTAATCTGTTTCATTTCCTTTAAAGGCTCACACTATCGTGGCTTTCCCACAGCGGAGATCAGAGGTGGATTCTGAACATTAAAATACCCATCTGTTAGACTGCTCCCGTCCAGCTGAAGGACAATGACAGATGAAGCAGACTTAAAAAATGTAACTCTGACTAATCTATATACAGCTTCAACAGGTAAAAAGTTTAGGGCTCATGAAAAGCAGTGAACAAACACATGGATCACTTCTTTTGGGCTGATGTGTTATGTAACTGATGAGGTTCGTAGTAACTTACAGGTTCTCCTCTGGGTCCTCTGTTTCCACGGCCCCCTTGTTCACCTTTCTCTCCTGCTACACCCTACAGGATTGAAATATTAAATGTTTTTTTTCTATAAAGGGCCTCCAATTGACATGGCACATATATTGCATTCTAATAAAAGTGTGACAAAGACAAATTTAAGTGTAAAAATTACTTTTTCGCCTCTTGGGCCATCTGGTCCTGGTGGTCCCTGTAATACAGAAAAAAAATCACAGTAGTGATAGTAGTAGTAATGTAGGCTTAACCACTGCTATTTATCTCCAAGAACACAGAGACTTATCACTGTTACTTATCTCTAATCTTTAGTACACAGAGCCTTAATCACTGTTATTTATTGCTGATCTCCAGTACACACAACCTTCATCACCGTTATTTATTGCTGATCTCCAGTACACACAACCTTCATCACCGTTATTTATCTCTAATCTCTAGTACACACAGCCTTTATCACTGCTACTTATCACTCGTCTATAGTACAGCCTTTATCACTGCTATTTATCTTTAATCTCTAGTACACAGAGCCTTCATCACTGTTATTTACCTTTCAGCTGTAGTACAGCCTTTATCACTGTTATTTATCTCTAATCTCTAGTACACACAGCCTTTATCACTGTTATTTATCTCTAATCCCTAGTACACACTGTCTTTATCACTGCTATTTATCTCTAATCTGTAGTACATACAGCCTTTATCACTGTTATTTATCTCTAATCTCTAGTAAACACCACCTTTATCACTGTTATTTATTGCTGATCTCCATTACACACAATCTTCATCATCGTTATTTATCTCTAATTTCTAGTACTCACAGCCTTTATCACTGTTATTTATCTCTAATCTGTAGTACACACATCCTTTATCACTGCTACTTTTCACTCGTCTCTAGTACAGCCTTTATCACTGCTATTTATCTTTAATCTCTAGTACACAGAGCCTTCATCACTGTTATTTACCTTTCAGCTGTAGTACAGCCTTTATCACTGTTATTTATCTCTAATCTTTAGTACACACAGACTATCACTGTTATTTATCTCTAATCTCTAGTACACACAGCCTTTATCACTGTTATTTATCTCTAATCTCTAGTATACACTGTTTTTATCACTGCTATTTATCTCTAATCTTTAGTACACACAGCCTTTATCACTGCTATTTATCTCTAATCTTTAGTACACACTGCCTTTATCACTGTTATTTATCTTTAATCTCTAGTATACCCTGCCTTTATCACTGTTATTTATCTCTAATCTCTAGTACACACAGCCTTTATCACTATTATTTATCTCTAATCTCTAGTATACACTGTCTTTATCACCATTATTTATCTCTAATCCCTGGTATACACAGCCTTTATCACCATTATTTATCTCTAATCTGTAGTACATACAGCCTTTATCACTGTTATTTATCTCTAATCTCTAGTACACACAGCCTTTATCACTATTATTTATCTCTAATCTCTAGTATACACTGTCTTTATCACCATTATTTATCTCTAATCCCTGGTATACACAGCCTTTATCACCATTATTTATCTCTAATCTGTAGTACACACAGCCTTTATCACTGTTATTTATCTCTAATCTCCAGCATACACAGCCTTTATCACTGTTATTTATCTCAAATTACTAGTACACACAGCCTTTATCACTGTTATTTATCTCTAATCTCTAGTACACACAGCCTTTATCACTGTTATTTATCTCTAATCTCTAGTACACACAGCCTTTATCACTGCTACTTATCACTTGTCTCTAGTACAGCCTTTATCACTGCTATTTATCTTTAATCTCTAGTACACAGAGCCTTTATCACTGTTATTTACCTTTCAGCTGTAGTACAGCCTTTATCACTGTTATTTACCTTTCAGCTGTAGTACAGCCTTTATCACTGTTATTTATCTCTAATCCCTGGTACACACAGCCTTTATCACTCCTACTTATCACTCACTGCTATTTATCTTTAATTTCTAGTACACAGAGCCTTCATCACTGTTATTTACCTTTCAGCTTTAGTACAGCCTTTAGCACTGTTATTTACCTCTAAGCTTTAGTACAGCCTTTATCACTGTTATTTACCTCTAAGTGTCACACATTCAACAGCCTCTAGCAAAGAACCGGACTTCATCTCCCAGACTCCTCTGGGAGATCACATGACGGAGCAACTTCCCTCCGACTCGGACTCAGACACGGACTCCATTTCCCACAATACAGTGGGGACTCACGTGACTTCTGACTCCCGCTCGCGCACCAATCAGCGCTCTGCATCTCCAGAATACTAACTGGTGTCACCTGTGTTTCTGCTCACATGACTAGTTAGTTTACTTTAAAAGCCCGGGCTTCAGATAGACTAAGTGCGAAGTATTGTATCCTTGTGATCTACTGAGCGTTTGTATATTCTTGCCTGTTTTTCCGTTTATTGACCACCATTTTGTATTTTCGACTCTGCCTTTTGCCTTACCCCTTTTGTGCCTTTGCCTGTTTGGACTGACCTGTGTTTTTGACTTCCTTGCCTGTTTTTGTGACCTCGTTTTTGCTCTGCCCTTTTGCTTTGTTTGCCTGATTATATTAAACTTGTCATTCTTCTTACATCCACGAGCGTCTGTATTCTGCTGCCACATCACACTAAGCTTTAGTACAGCCTTTCTCACTGCTATTTATCTCTAATCTCTAGTACACAGTGGTCTTACCTACGCAAACCGACATGTACAAAACACAATAGCACGCACATGAGCACACACATACAACTATTAGGTATTACTATATAGAAATATTTAAAATTTATGACTAGCATGGCAGATGATAGTGATTATGTGAATAGGTCTAAAACTAAGCGGTAAAGTTTAAAAATACAGTTTAGTGAAAGCTACTATCAAAGACATCTCTCTGATTAATCTTTCTTTGTGTCCTCTGGCCTGCTCAAAAGGAGTTGCCGATTTATACCATGATCTAGCATGTTTTTTTGGCTAGTAATCAATCCCTGACTCAAGATTTATTATTTTCAGAATCCATGTGCAGAATACACCATGCAGAATTCATCTATCACCAATGTTATTAAAAAAAGAAAGGAAGAGGAAACAAAACACTTACATCATCTCCTCTTTCCCCTTTGTCCCCATTGGCTCCTCTTGGTCCTCTGTCACCCTACAAAAAAAGCACAGGAGATGTGTTGATGGGACAGTGACCTAAATTATGACAACTAAATCCATATTTAGGCGTGCTAATGATGTTTAAAGCCAATCAATCCACTTCTAAACATCATCGGTTGCAAGTGTCAATGACTTTAAGGCAACTATGTTAGAGTTTTTACCGAGGGTTAAATGAAATACTGATGTACCTTATCCCCAAGAGATCCATAGTTACCAGGTCTTCCTCGTTCACCATCTCTGCCAGGCTCACCCTAAGAGAGACAAGCTCAGCTTATCATACTTATACCAGAGACAAGACCCCTGTTCATGTCTGTGTACTATGGTCTTCAGCTTCTATGATCAGCTGCAAACATTTACATTTCGGGTGAGCAGTACTGGCGTCTAAGTGTTTGTAATGCGAAATGACAGATAACGTTAAGTCTCTGACAGGAATGTCATCTCCTTACTTTTCCTCCTTTTGGTCCATAAGGACCTGGGTCTCCTTTTGGTCCTTGTTCCCCTTGCAAACCCTGTAATAGAGGGCAAAATTTTCATTTTTAATTAAAGGAAGAAAAAGGGCTGCCATAAGAGCTAAGCTCTGCAATAACTTATACAGGACATGGAGTGAAAGCCCACTCCTCTGCACTAGCGGACTCATTATTACAGAATGTAAATAAAGCACAAACAGTCTTTAGAGTGCGAGCACTGAGTGTGGCCTGGATGTCAGATTTAGTAAATGTTTGGCTCACTGAGAGGCAAACATCCTTAGTCCTGTGCTCCAGATGTAGGCTGAGCAGAAACAGCCGCTCTACACATAGAGCCTGACTGACGGATGAACAAAACAATCAGCTGACCTGAGAGGCGGGACATCTGTGGTTTTAGCCAATGAACTGTGATTGGATCCTCCTGACACCAATCAGTGATTGTTAAAGCAGAGGATGTATATCTACACTTTATACAGTACCAGGTGTTTGATAGAGAACAAATGTCTGATTCTATATCAGATTTATGACTTACTATTAATGAGAGGTGGTCATACCCATTTTAAATATTTTTCATGTTACCATGGTAAAACAACAAAAATATACATTTAACAATCAGTGGATTAACAGAATATAAGCTCAGTGGCAGAACTTTACAGTTTCGCTCAGCTGTGAGGCCACAGCCCGATGAGGTCAGATGATGCAGACTAGAAACCTTAAAGCTGCCTCATAGACTTCTCAATTAAAAGAGGAGTAACACAGACAGCCCAGCCACTTAGCAATCTGTTCTGCTAATGACTAGCCAACACATGTATACATGCAGGGTTGGGAGAAGCTTTCACACTGTAAAGTCCTCGAAGCACCTGGAAAATTGATGGTTTAGACTTACGTCTGGCCCAGCTGACCCTTTGCAGCCAGGCAGCCCGGGAAACCCTGCTTCACCCTGTGAGATAAAACACAAACAAATTTCCAACATAAATATCCAGATTAAAAGGACTAAGAGTGAGGCACAGCATGTTGTAAAAACAAAGGGTCATCCCACAGCTTGAGTACAGTGTGAAGACTCAGGAGGAGTCTGAAATAGCTCCTGATTTGACATAAATCACTAAACATGGCTCAGCTAAAGGCTGTCAAACCCTTTGCAAGGCATTCAATATAAATAGAGGAAACTTATCCACACACTGAGACAGAAAAGAAGGAAACTAATACATACAGCACAAACAGTAAACTCAGTAAATCACAAAACTATAGGGAGGTAAGAGGCAGTGATAGAACATTCACTATATAAAAATGCACCTAATTCATAGAAATATTGCATTTAAGTCAGAAATAAGACAGAAAAAAGAATAGGAAAAGCTTAAGTTGAGAACACACTATGACTATGCTGTTAGTCATATCCGCTGTGTGGTTCCTGACTCAAAAATCCCCAACATATTTTCGAGATTTTCTTGAGTCAGCTATGTTGGAGCTGTGCTGCAGCTCTGCAGGATCAGATTTAAGTAACAGGGCACTACAGTTTGTGTTTAATACCCACAGAGGAGCAACAGGAAATGCTTAAATAAATATATCACGAAAAACCTTACTTTTTTTGCTGTTTTAAGCTATACTTCATTGTCTGTGTAATTAAGTAATTATAAGCCAGAAGTGGGCATGAAAACTGGACAATTCAATCAACTGAAATGGACATACAGTGCTGTGAAAAAGTATTCGAAAAAGTATTCCAATTTCTTCTATTTTTTGCATATTTAAAAGTTTCAGATCATCAGACTACTTTTGATATTAGACAAAGATAAAGCAAATAAACACAAAATGTTGTTTTTAAGTAATGATTTCATTAATTGAAGGAAAAATGCTGTTCAGCCCTCCCTGATCCTATGCGAAAAAGGAAACAGCTTAGCTACTAAATCAACCAGTTAACCAAATTCAATTGACTATTGGGTTCTGTTTCTCTAGCCACACTGAGGCATTATTACTGCTAGACCTGTTGAATCTAAACATCACTTAAATAGAACCTGCTCTGGGTCTTCTACAAGGTACTAGTGTTGATTAATGTAAAATTTAGACATGCACAATTTTAATTTCTCTAACAGGAGTTTGTTTTTTTCTGTACCTGCGAAAAGGGCAGAAAAACATTCTCTCTTATCACTTTCATATTCACACTGGTGTTTGTATGGGTGTGTTAGTTGCTATATTATATTTTGTCATTGCTCATTAGTCATACTGTCATAAAGTCATATTGGTAAGATTTGGTTGTTGCCTTTCACATTTTGAAAACTACTGAGTGTGCAAAGCTCTGCATATGGGAGCCTGACTCACTACTTTTCACTAAATACTGGATGCTTTCTTACTCTTAGTCAAGTAATTATTCAGATGAATACTTAGGCTTCTACTTAGATAATTATTATTTTAAGTAACTATTATTATTAACAGTACTTGTACCTGAGCACAATCTGGCTTCTCTACCTACCTCTGATGTTTACAGATAAATACTGTATGTGGACCATTCTATCATATTAATTCAAACTGTGGTCCCACAGTAAAAAAAACTATTTAAAAACCAGTATTGAGATTAGATATTACAACCCCATTTCCAAAAAGTGGGGACACTGTGCAAAATGTAAACAAAAATAGAATGCAATGATATGCAAATCATGTAAACCATATTTTTAAAGGAAAATACTACAAAGACAACATATCAAATGTTGAAATTGAGAAATTGAATTGTTTTTTGAAAAATATATGCCCATTTTGAATGTGATGCCAACAACACGTTCCAAAAAAGTTGGGACAGGTTCATGTTTACCGCTGTGCTGCATCACCTCTTCTTTTAACAACACTCTGTAAGCATTTGGGAACTGAGGAGACCAATTGTTATAGTTTTGAAAGTGAATGTTTCTCGTTCTGGTTTGATATAAGATTTCAGCTGCTCAACAGTTCAGGGGCTCATTTGTCATATTTTTCATTTCATAACCCTCCAAATGTTTTCAGTGGGTGACAGGTCTGGACTGCAGGCAGGCCAGTTTAGCATCCAGACTCTTTTAATATGGAGCAATGCTGTCGTAATACATGCAGCATGTGGTTTGACATTGTCTGGCTGAAAAAAGCAAGGCCTTCCCTGAAAAAGACGTCATCTGGATGGCAGCATATGCTTTTTGGCCTTGTCCCTTGCATATAGGGATGACGATGATGAAAAGCAGAAGTCCTTTGCTGTTTTACGTTGAGAAAAGTTATTCTAGAATTGTTGCACTATTTGCTCGTGCAGTCACTCAAGTGGTGAACCCCTCTTCATCTTTACTTCTGAAAGACTCAGCATCTCTGGGATGCTCTTTTTATACACAATCATGTTACTAACGTGTTGCCAATTAACCACCAGGTGTTTTTTATCACACAACTTTACCAGACTTCTGTTGCCCCCGTCCCAACTTTTTTGGAACATGTTGTTGGCATTAAATTCAAACTGGGCAAATATTTTTCAATAAGCAATAGAATTTCTCAGATTCAACATTTGATATGTTGTCTTTGTACTATGTTACATGAAATAGAGGGTTTAAATGATTTGCAAATCACTGCATTTTGTTTTTATTTACATTTTGCACAGCATCCCAACTTTTTTGTAAATGGGGTTGTAGATATTCATTACATATTTACAAGGATTTTACTATGATCTCTTTAAATGTAATGAATTTATTGAGATAGTAATAAACGTAAAACAAATCATCATGTATAGGGTACATCATTAATTAAATTTCAACTTGTAAAAATAACACATTATTTTTTCAGTGTTCTTTTAGATTTCTTGAAATGGAATGATTTAGATTTATCATGAGTTTAATTTTTAAATCAAACATAAGTTTTAGTCCATAAGCGGAGCCTTATTTTACCACACCCCCACATTTTAGAGTAGGAAGTAAGACTCTATAGACACATGGTGAGCAGATAGAACCCATTTTTTTTACTTGTCCCAAAGTCTAAAAATCAGTGTGTAATGTTAAGATCTGTCACTAGAGAAACACAAATGTTCTGCAATTTAGTAACCTTTGTTTATGTTTTTTCAAGAAAAATATTATGATTTTATTTGTGTTTTAGCTGTGTTTGCTAGTCATGTAGGGCCAGCATTTTTGAGGTATGCTCAAAATTAGCTAAAACTGACACTATAAGAACAGTCACTACCAAAGCATTTGGTCAGGTTTTGCTGATGTTATTATTGGACTGGTAATGACAAAATGGAATGTCCGGTCATTTTATTTCAATAAAATAAACTTAATTAAGGTATAGAGTCACTCAAAGCAAAGGGTCTAAAGCAAAAGCAAAAAGCCTAAAGTCCAAGTCAGTTAAAAGTCTGAAATGAGTTTTGATCCATATACCTTATTATGAGCACTCTCTGCAATTCTTGAGGGTAAGAAATAAATAATCAAAAAAAGCACTCACCTTACGTCCATCAACTCCATCTCTTCCTGAATGTCCTTTGTCTCCCTGGAAGAAACAAGTATAAACATTACAGCATAAGCCAAATGTTTGGAGGTAGAACAAAATGACAGACGACTAGTTCTAATGAGTGACTGTAGTCTTACCTTGAAGCCCTTGTGGCCTCTCTCTCCCTGCAAGAAGGAAAAAGCCAGATTAAAGACTTCTCCCACTCAATCAACATGTAGCTTTTGGAATAAAGTCAACCAATTAAAACGAATGGCATTTTCTCCGCTGTAATTTGGCTGTTTTACCTTTTCACCTCTTTCTCCTTGGTCTCCCTGAAGAACAACAAAGAAAAAGTGGAAAACAGTTAAGATACCATTTCAGTGGGAGATCTTTTTCCAGTCCAAAACAGAAGGAAATGTAAATATTTCACAGTTAACTATAAAGACAAACCTTCATGCCTTGGTAACCAACGGGTCCAGGATCACCAGGGTTTCCCTATTAGGAAGAAATAGATAATAATAACAACAGCAACAACAACACCAATAATTATAGAGCTGTAAATGAGATTCTACAGAATACTAACAATAAAGGGAAAATACACTCAGAGCCAAGTTCAAAAATTGTGTACACTGAGATGACCTTAGCTAGTAGAGTGTAAAATAACATGGGGATTAATGGATTTCAATTACTCCTAACATTAATCTTACAATATTGTTCGCGCATGCACAGCATTTTTGGATATCTCAGTCCTGTTTAACACTGTGCTCTTAACCTGCACTTCCATTCCTGGCAAGCACTAACCGACAATACTCTTCGAGTGAGAAGCACACCGAGGCTCAGGCTGCATTCTAATCCTGAGGCTGGCCGTGGTAGCAGCTCTGTTCCAATTTTCACCCTGTCGGGCTACCGAGGACTGTACCCTGCTGCCCATTTGTAATAACTTTGTACTGTAAACGATGTTGTGTCTACACATTTATAAACATTTGATTCAAAATAATGGAATTGCTGGCTTGCTATACATACACTGCTTAATGGAGTTTCTGGATCTATCCCATAACTGTGTCAGCCTATTGTGTGTGTCAGTAACTACAAATTAATGAGGTAAGTGAATGTGTGTAATGTCTGAAACTGAACACGTTACTCTTGCAGCTGTGGAGGGTAAAAAGGTGTTGGTCCTGTGAGCCTTCCATTAAGTTGTTCCAGAGTTTCACTCTGGATTATACACCAATATTGAGAGCCAGGAGCTTTTAACAACTACTGACAGAATGACTACTAGAAATCTACAGCACCACAAAGAAGAATCACACTACAAGGAAACACAGCATAAAATATTAAAAATGTTTTTATGATACTAAAATGCTATTTAGAATGCTATATTAAACATCCAGTAAAACTGAATTAAAAATAGAAACATGATAAAGCTCAAAAATCGCTTATCAGATCTCTCTGAGAACTGTCTAGGTGTGGTCCTTATACTCTGATAAGCAGCCATGATTGACATTCCTCTGTCCCAGCCAGCTAGGTCAGAACCAAACACAATAGTGTGAGCAGGGAGAAATGAGTGAAATGGGCCCTACACACGCAAGTCGTGTTATAGATTTACCTTTTGTCCATAACTCACTAAAAAGATAATCTGGCATTTCTATGGTGACATCTTAAAGAAGATAAGGTTGTAATTCACTTTACTGCTGGATGTGCGTCCAGGGAATGCTGGCGTGGAGGAATGGACGAGCGAAGTAAGAGATGAACAACAGGCAAACTGATGAGCGAGCCTGCTAGCTCAGTGATGCTTGCTAGGTTAGCTTTCACTTGACTGCCGTGGAACATAGTTTTATTAAAGCTGTGTAGGCAGGACAACCCACATCAGCCTTGTGATTGGTGAGGGGACTGCTTATGTAAGCACCACCCAAGATAAGGACTGCCCAGTTTACACTAAAAGAGGAAAATTTAGGCAAAATACATCGGACATTGTAAAGTTTTTCACAGAACATACTTTGTATGTGCATATTGTGTGCACACAACATCAAGATTAACCTACTTAGAAAGAGAACACAGATTTAGGTTCCCTGGAGGTTTAAAAGAATTACGAGCGTAAACTAAGTTGTAATACACTGAACTGGCATCACTACTATGAAAACAAAAAGGTCATTCTATCTATCTATGTAATCTGGCCTGTGTAAAGTTTGTATATGCTGAATGTCTTGCAAAAATATAATGTAGCTACAAGAAGTATAAACAGTGTGCTACAGGAATGCAATATGGTTTGTGTCATTTATGTGCTAGTTCCTTATGGAAAACTATATGTATACTCACCACAGGCCCAGTGTCTCCCTTCTCTCCTGGCATTCCTGGTCTTCCAGTTTCCCCCTATAAAGAGATAAAGGAAAGGAAGAAACTGTTTACACAGTGGTACTGAACTATGCTCCATATGATGCATGTTACTCGTCCAAAGTTGCAGTGAAAAAATGTCTTGGTACACAGATGGTGAACAAATGAGTAAGATCAAGGCAGGATGTATGCAAAGATGGCCAGAAGGAAAGAAAAACTGTGGAAAATGTTTTCATCTATATGCAGTCATTAAAACTTACTCTACTCCCTGGTTCTCCAGGGGGTCCGATCGGCCCTCCAGGGGCCTGTCAAAACATCACATGAAACAATTAGATAACAATCTACACTGTGCGTTAAGATGAATCACGTCTGTGCTTTGGACCACTTATGGCATGCAATGAGGATACTCACAGTGCAGTCAAAGGAGCAGCACTGCAAAGAAAAAGATGTGGAAATAGTTAGACTATAAATATGGTTATTGCACAAAAGGCTAGTATGTTACATATCTGGATTGTCATGAAAAAATGAGGATAACAAACATACCACATCCTTGGTTTCATTGGTCTGAAATAGATAAAAGAGAAAACAAGAGCAATTAGGGTTAGCAAAATCAAAAGAGCAATGAATCTGAAGCTCTTGCTACCTGTAATGCATAACTAAATGATTAAACCCTGCAGGCGTGGCTTTCAGTTATGGATCTTAAGATTTATTATTCAATAACTACTGTCAATGATGATTCTTTAATACATTTGGTAACTACTATGAAACTGATAATAATTTATACAGTTATGGAGTGGATTCTTCCTAGGTTAAACCAGCCTGTGATGTATAATCATGTCATAAAGACATAAGGAGTATTCCCACAGACTTGAGTAGCCATTAAAATTCAGAGGGACCTGGGGACAATGTCTGTAGGTGGACTCACTATCATGTTGATGATGGTGTGAATCGTGTTCAGCTGTGTGGACCGGGTGTTGTCTGCAGCCGTGAAGTTCTGTCTGTATCTCGCATCTGTAGCGATGACTGACAGTCTGGTGTCCTGTGGGGGAAATCAGGTGTGAGAAAAGACAAATAGAAGTCATAATTACACTTATTCTTATGACTCTATGTTGACATCACTCTCATCTCATACCTGTAAAGAGACTAAATCAGCTATCACTAAATAGAAAACTGAATGTTCCTTGTTCTCTTGAAACAGAAGAGTTTGCTGTACAAGCTAAACATTGTGAAAGGTTGCAAATGTACTTTTCACTCCCCAGCTGACACAGTCCACATATGAAAACTTAGCTGCAAAAACAGCTTGTTCTGAATTGATCATGTTTGTGATGTCACAACTATGAAGACATTTACTAGGGTTGTAACAATTTATTTGCTTTCTTGATGCATCGTTTAATTTCACCTGAGGCAACTGCACCGATGATGAAAGGAAAAAAAATGCTGAATTGTATCAGTCAAAAATCGATTTTTTAATACTACAATTGTGATTTGATATTTAAACATTTAAAAAGCCTTACTGTGAGTGAATGGCTCACAAGCGTTCACAATCAAATGACGAACACAAATGTCAGAAGAAGCACAGAATGAGACATTTGCAAACCACTGCTCAGGCACTGTAATGTTTTGGTTTAATTTTAGCAGATTTACCACCAGAGATGCAACGAGCTAAACGAAGCTGGTTTATTTGGTAAAATGTGCAGGATACACTGAAATTGAACTCGCTGACCAACTAAACTAAAGACTGCAGTGCCCCCAGCTTAACACAGCCCTCTTCTTATACGCAGAGGAGCAAAGGAGGCATCACCACAATTTCATTACTGGGAAAGACTGGAAAGTTTTTTTTTGAAAAACCATTCTCAGGAATATGTTATCCAAAAGAGGTTTTTTTTTCTCCACAGCCTCGCTAAAATATTTCTTGAATGCTACTTTGAAAACCGCTATGCTACATCATCAATGCTACATCATTTTAATCAGCTAATATTTTTGGGAAAATTATTTTTTTCTATGCCATCTCTGATTTGTTTGTGTCAGTGTTAGTGATTTGGTACACACACACACACCTATTGTATACTGTAACAATAGTCTATGTCCAGATAATTTAGCCTATTTAGAGCATGTTCCTTTAGAATCACTATTGTTGTAATAAACATTACTGAAGTAATTTGACTGATTCAGTTTTTTCCTGAGATATCTTAGAGGATGTCTTTTAGCCCACTACATTATATAAGTACTTTTATTCATTATAATAATTCTTAAAGGTGCCTGAATTGCTGAACTGAATCGCTGTTCAGTGTAGCAAAGCAATTCCAATCATTCCTAATTCATGTTATTTACATTTTTGAATCAAATCAGAAGCCAGTAAATCGTGAATCAAATCGAATCATAGTCAACCCAAAGATTCGAAACTCTGACACATACAGCATACAGCATTTTAGCATGATTTTGATTACAGTGGCATGAAGAAGTGCTATCACAGCAGTCAGTTTGTAGAGTAGCATTGACAATATAGGGAAAAATGATTAAACGTTATACTGTTCATGGCTGTTGGGAAGGAAATGTGTCATTGCAGCCCTCAATATTTTTATTCCCAAATGTTGAAAAGAAACATTTGGTAATATGCAATTTCCCTAAGGATTTGAGTCTGAACTTTATTTCAGTTTAAAGTTTGCTCCGTACATTTCAGCCTGGATGTGGTATGCCTCATTTCACTTATAAATAAATAAAAAAAAACAATTAAAAATAGTAACTATTTTATTCTACTGAGCGGGCACAGTGGTCATCCAGGGCAGACCCCTAAAAAATCAAGTATTTTAGTCAAAGTCTCAAAGGTCAATAAGAAACTAACCTAAACTTGTTCCTAATATGTATCTCATAATAAAGGTATTACATGACTATCATGCCCCTACAAATATCTATGAGCTGCATTAAAAGTGAGCAGTAGAGCTGTTTGTTAAGGGTAATTGATGATGCAACAAAAAAGTTTTTTTAATTTAACTTTTTCATTTAAATGCATTTAAAGTTAGCATATTCTAATGAATACAAACTTACTTGTTACCAATGATATTAGAGACTTTTTGCCATAAACATCAGAAATGCACAAATATACAGGATTATGATTAACTACACACTCAAATTGTACATTATTTTATATCTCTGCTACTGTTTATGTATTTTTCTTATTTATTTATATGTTTATGTTAGCTTTTGTTCTGGGTCTAATTTCATTCTTTTATTTTATATATGATCTGTTTCTCTCTCTAGTGGTGTGTGAGATTAAATATTTTAAAATATTCAATTATATTTTAACTGTGCAACTGCATTAACTGCAAGACTGCATTATTATCAATGTTCCTGCCACTTTACCTTCAATGGTCAGCTCAACCCGCTGATAGACGACGTTCATAATTTTTGATTACTTTGGCTAATTTGAAAAAAAAAAGGAATCTGATAAATGAAATGTTGTCAGTGTGATCTAAGTAGTAATATATCTTTGTACAAGTATTCCACTGTGTTCAAATGAAAGGGTTAAATGCACAGTAAGAAAAAAAAATGCCCGTTAAATTTTAGGGGATTAAGACAAGATGGAAAACGGTCATGCTGAAATGACTGAATAATTTTTGAAAGAATGCCTGGTTTTGGTTATTTCACAAATGTTATAGGTGGACTTTGAAGAAAATTGTAGAATATGGGTCCTTTAATACTCAACTACTTCAGGCAGCTATAGGCACATGCCTTTGAACAGCAGATGCAGATTTTTGCAAAAAAATGAGAGACCAGCAGGTCATTCTAAAATGCTCACACTGCAATATGCTTTAATAACTTATATGCATAATAACTTATGCTTTAAATTTAATTGATCCAAATTTGCATGCTATTTCCACATTCAGCTTTAGATTTAAGATGTTTACTGTCTATCATTGTCTATGATGTCCATCATAATAAAAATCTGTGTTTGACATGTTGACACGAAGAAGTGTGCAAGAGCATCCTGGGCATAATTGCTATTAACATATGAAATATATTCAGAAAATAAAGTTGCATGTATGTATATGGAAGGCTGTGCATGTAAGGTAGCACAATTGCATATAATGTGTTTGCAGAAAATAAGCTTTGACCACAAATGCTCACATTTTTACTGATTGATGATATTAGCTACTGGTATGACTGGAATAACTTGAAACATTTTGTTTTGGTCAAAGGCAGTTTATAATAGTGGCCTAATAGTGGCAGCTGAAAAGAGCAGTGAAGAGAATGCATAGGATCACGAATTATGGCAGTAGCTTTCCTCTTGACTGACCAGGTGCACAGTTCTGACTGAAATGAATTTGAGTTGCACCAGTTATTTCTGCTTGCCTGACTGACAAGTCATGATAACTTGGTATTGCTCTTATACCAGCAGGTGATGTTACAAATCACCACCAATTTTAGGGATTAACAGACAGATCTTGATATTAAAGCTTCTGATTTTCCTTAATAGATTTAGTCAGTCACTTCTCAAATTTTCTATTAATAATCTCATCATTACTGCCAAAATTGTGTTTATGAAATATATTTCAGTATATATGTTATTAATGTGGAAATACTGCACACATTTGAATCAAGTAAATATAATGCACCACTTTTGTGCAGAAAAGAGATGGCTTACAGTTGCATGCAAAAAGTCTGAATACTCCTGATCAAATGACATCTTCTGTTGATTTGTGAAAATAAGTTAACACATCATGCTGTAAACTCAAAAAATAAAGAGTAATTGTCCATTGTATGTGCAGAAGTGTGTCCTCTGTAGAGAATGTGTTCACTAATTTTCACTAAGAAAATCAACAAAACATGTGATTTGACCAGGGAGCACAAAATTATGCATACAACTGAACATTAAAGACTTCAAGTTATGAAACATTTAGAAGGCCATGCATATTTTTATAGCGCGGTGCGATTGTTATCTGGGTATAGTACCTCCTGGTCAGGGGTAATGGCCACAGCAAACACTTTGACGCCATGTTGTCTGGCCTCATTTGCTGCCTCCTGTATCCCTCCACAGGGTTCTTTGTAACCTGTGACAGGATGACCATCTGTCACGACCACGATGTACTTATTCTCATGATAATGGGAGCCTCTGAAAACAAACACAATACATGGACAAAATTAGAGTAGCGTATTCATAACCATTTAGAAAATACCTACTGAAAACAAACAGTGGAGAGTTCTAGTTGTAGATGGCACTCTTCCAATTATCTAGCACAGTAAGCAGTGCTGTACAAAACTTCAATGAAGGTCAAATGTGTGCTCCTGTAACCTATGTGAGACCTTATCTTTTGTCTCTATGTGTCAAACAAATCTAAAATCCATGCCTGTAATCATGTTAGTATTTGCATTAGACTACGACTCTACCCGTCTACACAAGACTGAGAGAGATGCTGATTGGCTCTGGAATGTGTTTCTACTTACGCTCTGAGCACCTCAGCAATTCCCTCCTTGATGGCACAGTCAGTGTAGGTTCCTTTGCCGATGTATGTGATGCCATCTATGGCTGTTTTAAGTTCGGAGCGTTTTGTGTTCAGGTCCACCAGGCCTTTAATCAGCTGTATCTCGTCACTGTAGTGCAGAGCTCCAGAGTTCCATGCCACATATCGATCACATGCCTGGCGCCTAGCAATCAGGAGAAACACATGTTGAACACACAACACAATCACAGTCAAATCAGTGTCAGGACAAAAATACATTTTCATAAGCTTGGCAAGTTTCATTAAAATGAAGACCTAGTTTAGGTAGAACTTAACACAGAATATGATTACAGTACAAAACATTCACAGCAGTGAAGCTCTATTTAGGGCTAGTTCATCTGTATCACATACATTTCTCTCAGCTCATCGATGAAAGTCTTAGTGAAGGTCTTGAGCTGGTTGATGTAAAACTCTGGCGGTTTGGCTCTGAGGGCCACACTCTCAGATGTGTCCAGCACAAAGAAAAGGTCCACAGGGCATTCTACAGTGGAAGGAACGGTCAGTCAGAATCAGCAACAAGACAAATGCACTCACAAATTCGTAAACCTCAAGACTTGATTAGGAATTTTTAAAACTGGGGAATAAATTGGGAAATTTGAAAGCTAAACCTTTGTTGGAGGGCAACACTAACCACAAATGGGGGGGGCTAGAGGCAAATGTATATATCTGTGCTATTCTCTTTAAAAACATCTGTACATCTGCTTGTATAAACCCCATTCTCCAGAATGAGCTAGGCCTTCATCCACCATCTTGACCTACCTGGTGATGGGCGTGTGTCATGTGACCTGGTCACATGACTCCAAGGTACAGTAAAACACTAGAGCGATTTTCATTAGAGTTGTCAGCTGCAATGGTGACACATTTCCATATTTTTCCAATCACTTTCAGTATCTTATGTTATTAGTTAAATATTTAATTCAACGCCTTTTTTGAAGTCAATCAGAGAAGTCTGTTCCCTTCTGTTAGTTCTGTTCTGTTCTGTTAGGCCTGATCCCAGACTTGACTTCTCTTTACCAAATGGACAAACTCTGAGATTGAATATACACATACTCCATATACAATCTGGAGTACCACTTGTTATCAGTGATCCTCAATGCACTGCTGGCAGGTTTTATAACACACTTTACTGTGCTCACTGTTAAAGTAGAACATTTTTTAAACCAAGCAAAAATTTCCTTGCATTTATCAGTTCAGAAAGCAGAAAGCTGATTGAAGCACATCAGCATCCCAGAGTGGGAGCTGTGCAGTAGGCACTCTCCAGCGCCTCACCCTCCCACACCCTGTCAGCAGTCCCAGCCCTGAGCTACGAATTCTGAACATTTTAGTGCTTTCTCTGCTCTAAAACCCCTGAGCCAGTTAATGAAGGACTCGAGAATTGGTAAATGAGCTTCGTCAGGTGTGCTAGAGATGCTGGAGTGTATGCAGTACAAGGAACTGAGAACATAGTTTAGAACATTCTCAACACAACTCTCTGACAAACCACATCACGAGTCGCCTAAATTAGTGCGACAATGTCGCGAAATTAAAATGACACCGAGCACTGCTCCACATCAGTCTGTACCTTACATGGACACTTTTCCACTAAACTTCAAGCGTAAAAGCGCATATAAATTCACCAATAAAACCGAAAAAATAGCTCCCAAAACTCTCAAACGTCCCAAAATTTAGCACTAAGCAAAAAAAGCAAGGAGAAAAGAAGAGCTCCTTACCTCTGAACACGGCCTTAAACTCATCCTGAGCTAGCAGCCCTGGCCCCAGTGAGCTGAGGCAAAGAGCCGTTAGAAGAAGTCCTCTCAGCGCCATGCTCCTGCGCGCTGCCTTCGCACGTTAACCGTGCAAACCCGGCGATGTAAGAGAAGGAAACGGGGGATGTGGAACAGCAGGGAGGATAAAAAAATCAACTTTAGATACTTTTAATCCCCCCTACCCTCGGCACTAGCGGACAGTGTGAGGGAAGACGCGTCCCCTCAAAGAGGAGTTGATTCTTTTCCCACCTGTATTCAGGCATGCCCCGCCTCCTGGGCTAAGATTGACTAGTGGTCTCCCTCCAGCTGCAGCAGGATTGGCCAGTAGTGGTCTGATTCTTGCGGTAGGATAGGCTAGTAATATGTCGCTACCCGTGCTGGGATTGGCTCGTAGTGTCTCAGCTCCTGCGCTCGGATTAGCAGGTATTTCTGGTAGCCAATCCAAGTGCAGATAGCGGGAGGCTATTAACCAATCTTAGAACAAGGGGAGGGCTTTGTCGGAATACGGGTGGGAAAAGAAATGCGCGGTGTAGGTGAAACGCCTTAAAGCAACTTTTTCGCTTTTTAAAATTTGTACTCGACCGAATTCTAGGCCGTTTTTCACGAAACGCAGAAATGTATGCAAAAAGTACATTTCAAATATTTTGCATTTTGTCTTCAATAACGATTTTTCCTGCATCCTCGAAAGCTGTGACATTTTAAGAAAATATGCTTTCCGTGTAAATCACTGCACTTAATTCCCCTTTGACTGCGAATCGATGTGATGTGTTTCTGGCACCATTACAACAGCATTTAGTGACCTGGGGAAACTGAATAACTCATAGTGCTCGTAAAAGCTGGAAGACAGGCCAGCTTCCCTTCTGCACCTCCAAACAAATCAGAAGCAAGCTACTGAACAGCTCAATACATCATTTATACTGTGTCTGCATTTAGTTTATGTGAAATACTGAGTATATTCCTCACTATGTTCTGTCCTCCCTCCTTTATGAGTTGTGTAATAGACCCTCACCAAAAGTGCCAAAGCAGATCCAATGTGCGTGAGAGGTGCTGGTGAACGTGATTATGACTCCGATGCACAGTAGGACTATGAAAGGCGTGAGTCAATGCATGCACAAGGATATCAGCCATCATTGGGACGAGGGTTTGAGAGTTTATAAAAGGATGGGTGTGGGAGAGCTGAGAAACTGAGCTCTGGACTATATCAAACAGTAGAGTACTGAAGAGACATAAGTTGTAGAGAGAGTAAGAGAAAAGGGTAGAGGGGGGCTGTAGCTGCAGTCCCAGTGGAGGGTGGGAGAGCTCTCCAAACATCTGTATCTCTTCAGCATCATACCAGCATCCTGACTTCAGTCTCAGCCAAAAAGGGGGCGGATGTGTGTGCGGCAAAAAATGAAGCGGCCCCCTCACTTCCATTTCTCTTTCTGAAAGATCAACAGCGCCCCCAATGTGTAGAGTCACTCACGACTGATTACGTAAACCCCTGAGGTGGTTTTAGAAACTGTCCCAAGATCAGCGCTTGTTGACCGTGATGGAAACCCAGATCAGACCAGATTGCAATGGTTCCTTGCATAAACATCATGGCCTTAAGTTTCCTCTTCGACTTTAACTTAAGTGAACTGTGTGAAATTCAAGGAAAGTGAAACAAATCCATGTTTTTGACAGTTGCAAGATTTGTAAAAAAAGATTTGTAAATTTACAGCTTTAAATGGATTCCTTAAGCATTAAAGATAAATACTTGCTTTATGCAAGTTGACCCAGACCTATGGAAAGACTACTTTTAGCTTTTACTCCATAATTTTGGATAGTCAACATTCAATTTAATTAAGTAAATGTAATTAATACTAGCACAGTGTTGTGTACTAGTAATGTAAAAATGCATAACACCATGCAACATATAAAAATTCAACCTTTACAAGTGGTAATTATTTTTATTAGCATGGCCTTCAATTCTCATTAGCAGTGGATTTATGGCTTTTCTCAATTCATTTTAAAAGAAGAAATCTTTTTTTATTTAAGTTAATTTCGAATAGTGGTAATTCCATTTTTTACAAGTAAAATTAATTTTATATGGCAAGCCATTACTTATTGCTACAATGATTTAGTTCTTACATGTAAAAGTACATTTTTCTATGTTCACATTTTCATGTGTAACAATACAGTTTTCACTAGTAAGACATCAATTTTAACACCTTATAATTAGAATTTTACCACCATAAAATTTAATTCGTACTAGTAAAAATGGTTCCTTCCATTCAAATGCGTTGAGAAAAGCTATTAGTGCTTATTAGTGAGGACTGAAATCCTACATGCTAAAAAAATCCTACTAGTAAAAGTTAAATTAGATTTTTGTTCAAATTACATTTGTGATATTAAGAAAATTTGAATTAAAAGCTAAAATGATTCACCATACAGGCCTTCTTGCCATTAACATAGTGATTTGCTAATTTAAGCTCTAGCTATTAATTTATGCTGTATTCTACTAAGTTGTTGCGGTGTGTGTGTGTGTGTGCGAGAGGTCACTCTAAAACTATTAGATTGTAGTCTAAATGTAAAATCACTCATCATTTGCTAAAGGCCCACTGCACAAATTATTTGTCATATTGTGTGATTTGTGTATCATCATTTTAATCATACATTATACACAAACTGACTAGTATGTAATTTGCAACATTAAATCCCAATGGTTGATGACTAATATCATATGTTTGGGACATTTTCAATCTCTACAACCACAGTAAATTCATGATGACACTCGTAAACCTCATGAGAGGAGTGCCACCCACCCTGCTGTGGATTTCAACCACCATCTCCCTCAACCACCTACAGACACACATACACCACACATATACATCGTGAAGACATTACACACTAAAGACCTTCGAAAGAGGCTGAACAAAAGGGGACCTGAGAGTGTGACCACATCAAACTGTCTCTCTGGATGGGTACATAATGAAAGAGAAGTTGTGGAGGAATGGGCAGTGAGGCTCGAGACACTGGATCCATTGTAAATGGCGTGTTTTTTGTGTTAAAGAAGGCCAAAGGAAAAAGCGGGCAAAAGGGGTTTCTGGAAGAGAGGAATATTTTCCCTGCCTGAAATGGTTGTGTTGACTTTGAGCTTTGGCTCTAATGGGGACTATATGAGTTGGCGGGAAGGAAGATGAGGTAGAGGGGAAGCTTGGGGATGGCGCTCCGTCAAGAAACAGTAAAGAGTGGAAGCCTGTGTGTGTGCATGTGCAGCCTGTCTACGTTGGTGTGTGCTGTCATTCTGTGTATGTCGGTTTTGCTGTATAGTTTAAGTTTGGAATCACTGTTTTCATTCATATGAAAACAAAAAGCATATTTTTTCAGGATACATATATAAAGTGATTCTAATATGATGCTAATCCTCTAGAACTTCATAGATTTAAACTAATTCATACGAAGTTGTATAAAGTGAAGAAGAAATTACATGCTTCCAGAATGATGAACAGAGCTGTAATTTAATTTAAATTGTTCAAATACAAAAAAGTCATTCAGAGTAGTTTGATATGAAATGGTTCATTGCAAACATTATCATTTTATTTACCATCCAAAATGACCAGCGACCCTACATGTGACTTCTGAGTTTTTATATGTAACGTTGATGATGTAAACCTGAAAAAATAAAATTATTTAGGGACTTATTTGTCTGACAATTCCTTGCATGGACTTCTCCACCCTGGATAGATTGAAAAAAACATTTTAGGACCAAACTTTATCTCAAAATTATCAAAAAAACAGTGTCTCAGGCATCAAGCAGCAAATTTGTAACCATTGTAATGGCATTGGCTAGCACTGCACTGAGCGAAGTGGGGAGATGAAGGGCCATCCTACTCACCCAAAGAGAGAGTGATAGCTATGCTGTCTTGGACTTCTGGCCACGGATGGCTGCGGCATCACCAGGGATAAAACTCGCAGTTTCCCAGTTTTGCCCAGTGCCAGCTCTACCTAATAAGTGACACAAGCAGCTGCTATGGGCCCCACAGCTGCCAGGGGGCCTACTAACCCTTGGGCTGCTGTACCCTTACATCATCTAAGATGTTCAAGTGATGTTCCATATGCATCTAGAACCAAAAAACAGAGATGAAACAGAGAAGAATGAAGAGAAAAATGTTACATATAAGGATTTTTGTGGTGTTAACATTATGACATTTGTTTTGGCTTGTACTTAGACAACAAGCAGTCATTGATTTGGGGTCTGTCGAAGAAGCAGGGTTGACTTAGACAGGCTTTTGCAAAGTTTTAACAAACACAAATGTGGTTTTACAACAGCAGTAACAACTTATGCTGTTAAATCATTTATAATGGTACAAAGCAACACTGTCGCCACTGCCACCAGGGTTAAATTGAACTAAGACTAAAGTTAGCTGGGTCAGAAAGAAATACTGCATCGTTAGACAGACCCCTGGATCAAGAATGCTGAGAAGGTAATCTGTAATTTAAATTGTAATGTAACTCTAAATGAGCATCCAGTCATCAGCAATACACAATTAGAATAGAATTCAGACATCCTATTGTAGTGTTTGTTGTTAGTTAGTCTTTAATTTCACAGAACTTTAACTATGTAGATGGGAGGGCCCCAAGAGTGCTAACCACTAAGTTTCCTTGAGCAAGACTGCTACATTCACCTGCCTCTATAAAAATATCTGCAATAAAATTATTATTATTATTGAAAAAATATTTTTTATTGAATCTTTATTGAATAGAATAACAGCAATTATTAATGTTTGTGCTATCGTGAATGTCTGTGCCTTCATTCTGAGTGTGTGTGTGCATGTGTGTGTATGTATATATGTGTATTTGTCACTGTGTGTGCTGAAGTTTGAGTGTTTTTGTTTTGGATGAGGACAGTTGCCTGGTGGCGAACGGAGGGAAATGGGCATGTGTTTCTCCCACAAAGCAAGGGTTCATTTCTGTTTTAAAATTCTATTACAGGAGAGTGACTTTTGGCCTGATCTCAGCAGGCCTTTTCCACTGATCTCATGCTTTTGCTGTTCTCTTTTCCTTTTTTTCAGCTCATGAAAGCATAAAAAAGAAATCTTTCTCAACCCCCGAGACTGAGAGCAGAAATGGTTCGAGGGAAAGACATCTGGTACTAATCAGCGTTTAATAGAGGAGACTCACTGTAAATCTGGGGGGATTCTGGCAGCTGCAAGCCTTCATTCAGCCTGGGCTGTGGGGCGTGTTTCTGTGTTTTGGCGGGGGGGTGGGTGTGA